ACGGCCGTCCCGCCGTAAGTGAATACGTACCCAGTAGTACTCCTCCTCTTGTCAAGGTCACTTCCTGCAAAATCAGCATCGACATACCCAGACAGGGTAAGGGTACCCCTGCCAAATACTAATGCCCGGTCCTTAGTACCCCTCAGGTACCTAAGGATCCACTTTACCGCCTCCCAGTGCATCACTCCAGGATTGCTCATGAACCGGCTGACTACTCCCACTGCATGTGCTATGTCTGGCCGGGTGCAGACCATAGCGTACATTAGGCTCCCGATAGCCGAAGCATACGGCGTAACTCTCATCTTTTCTTTTTCAGAGTCATCCTGGGGCGAATCCTTATTGGACAACTTGAACTGGCTTCTCAATTAGGCTGGAACGCTGTTAATGTATATGCACTTCGTCTAGGAGCCTCACTCGAACCGACTTTGCAATATTCATATTGAATCTGCACAACACCTTCTCAATATAATCAGATTGAGAAAGCCAAAGTTTAACAGCATTTCTGTCCCTCGTGATTTTCATGCCCAGTATCTGTCTCGCTTCTCCTAGATCCTTCATATCAAATCTCCTTGATAGCTGATCTTTGAGTCTCTTGATCTCCTTGACATCTGATCCTGCTATCAGCATGTCATCCACATATAGCAGTAAAATAATGAAAGAGTTACCGAACTTCTTCACATAGCAACAATGATCAGCATTTCACCTGGAGTATCCTATCTCCAGCATAAAATTATCGAATTTTCGGTACCATTGTCGAGGAGCCTGTTTCAGTCCGTACAAGCTCTTCTTTAGGCGACAGACCTGCTGATCATTTCCTCTATATCCCTCTGGTTGCACCATGTAAATTTCATCCTCGAGATCCCCATGCAGAAAGGCCGTCTTCACATCTAACTGTTGCAACTCCAAGTTTTCCGCCGCTACGATGCTTAACACTAAACGTATAGTGGTTAACTTAACAACAGGTGTAAAAACATCGGTAAAGTCAATACCGTATCTCTGTTGAAATCCCTTTACTACAAGTCTGGCCTTGTACCGTTTTGTTCCATATGATTCTTCCTTGACCCGATAGACCCATCTGCTTTGAAGAGCCTTCTTTCCTTGTG